TATCAGCGGACGGTTGGGTCGGGAGCTGTACGGCCGGGCAGTCCATAAACATCGCGGTAAATATACCGCCGTTTGCGAACCACTCGACGGCAAACATTAACAGGACTAGTGTTAGGGGCCGGGGTTTAAACCATTTGATACCATACCCGCCCAACACTATACCGAACACCAGCGGGAATATGGACGTCACACCAGTGACCAGACTGGCCCGTGAGCTGGACAAATGAAACTGCGCCCGTACGTACTTGGTCTGGCTAATGGTATACCCGGCCAAACCCATGTACCGAAATACACCGCCAAACGTGTGAAACATAAACACCGCATTTTTGGCCAATCGCTTGAACACTGGCCACATGGCTGTCCGGCACCGGGAGGTCATAACCAGTATATTAGTTACGTTTTATCACATATTTTCTAACTCTTACCTTTAAATCCGTTGCCACGGCTTTTGCGATTCACTTTAACTGATGCCGACTTAAGTTGTGTGGGAAACAAACACATGGGTAAACTGACCAGGAATAGGGCGACCCCGATCATTAAAAAGCCAACCCACCATGCGCCTATAAATCTGGGATCACGGCGACCGATGCCCGGGTTATCTATTAATTAAATAAGGTGAATTGTAATTATTTAAAATTAACATGGTAAAATTTACTCACAAAATGGATTTTCGTAATATCTCAAAGTGAACGCGGACAAAAATAAGCCCCCAAACGGGCCAATCAATCTGAACACACTAGCCAACGACATGTAAACTGGTGAACTGTCCTTGGTCACGCTATCATCCAAAAAGGGTACACCAATTACCCAATAGGTAGTGTAGCCAATGCCACGGAAAGCGCTGCCAATTATCAGGGTAATTACAGCCGGCCATATAGTTGAGTGTGAACCGGGTGTACATTCATCCAGATTACTCATCGTACTATTGACCGAGGTACACATTTCGTATTGTTTGGTGCTATTCATAAGGCTCGTGGTAGAAAGTAGTTTATCGTCGTGCAATAGGTGTGTGCCGGCGCCGTATATGAAGTACGGGGCGGCGTTTATAGCGCAGGACAGGGCCAGTATCAGCTCACCAATCATGATCATCATTGGCCGATTGTGTCTGTCGCCTAAGTAACCAACCAGCGAACTCACCTTAGTACAATTAATTATATATTTTTATCTAAAATTTTTAATTTTGTTACTTTGCATTTATAGAATAACATTTTTTAATAAACAACTAAATAATTTATATTATTAATTAAACATACAGGTATTCATGATAAAGTTTAATCTAGTTGTTGAATTATTAATACATGATAATTACTTACCAGTATCTGAACGACATTATCAGCAATTAATATAACACCCGATATTTTCGAGTCAAAGGCAAACCTCTTCTCGAGATCACCCATACATCCGATAAAATATGTGCCAATCATGCCGTGTATAATACCTATGAGCCCAAAGTTGAGGGTAAACCATACGGGTGTGGCGAACACCTGTAGCCAACGGGGCCGCCACCGGCCAAATCCGCACGTGGTTAGAGTCGAGTCCTCTTCATCCAGTTCTAGCTTTTTATCAATATGTTTGTGATCATCACAATCACTGTCCCTATTGTTATCACCACGTTTGCCATGTTTAGCAATCAAGGTATAATCCGGGTTTGTTTTAGGCATAACTTTGGTGAGTTGTTTTTGTGTACAATTAACAAATATTTGACTTAATCATAAATGTCTATTACTTGACCTAAACTACAAGTAGACACAACTAACATTAACTTACATTAATGAATGTGCTTTACAATGGAATTAATTGTGTTATTATATAAATCTATGTCATAATAGGCATAATATTAATATACGTATGCGATGAAATGACATTTATTGCCCAGGGTTGTGTTAAGCGCTAATAATTTACCAATCATTCAATGATTATATTTAATTTACTAAAATGAAAAATGTGCAATATTTTACATAATTATTTTTTAAAAATATGCCAAGGTAAATCGACAAAACATAAAAATGAGTATAATTCTTGACATTTAATTTTTTAAAAATTAACATTATGTTACTTTTACAAAATTTCTTATAAATTATAATTTTACCGTAGATTAGCAAAAAATTACAAATACATGGATTAAATTATGAAGAATAAGTTTATAAAATTTTATAAATAATACATAAATCACACATGTGATTAAATATTTTAATATTTGTTATTAATTAAGATAAAGATTTATAATTAAAATTAGTTAGATAAAATTATTGTATATGAGATAATTAAAATATAAATTGAATAATTATATCTAGATATTTAATTTTTACCAAGTTTAAAATTTGTGTTTCAAATGTTGCGCTTAAAATACATGTTACTATTATTGGTTGCATAAATCAGATGTGTTATGAAAGCACGTGTTTTGCCGGCAATTAAGTCAAACAATTAATCAAATCAGTTGTCCGGCTATTTCTGTGAATACGTCCGTAAAGTACGTCCATAATTAGCGCCAACAAGTTATTTGCCCCTAGTTATGAGTTTTAATAGTATTTTATTTACTTATAAACATAAAATATATTATTGTTATAGACAGAAATAAAGGGCGATTTAGAGCTTTCTTCACAGAAAAAAACAATTTTCTAATTCATTTTCACAAATATTAAAGTTGTGTTCAAAGCAATG